TCCCCCCCCCAAAAAAAAAAAAAGAATTATAAAATTAACCCCACAAAAGACCCACGCCACAGTAAACGTTCCCACCAAAATCGCTGAGCTGAAACACATTATAACACAACAAAAAGAAGACGACGTCTTTGCTAGAAACACATTAGAACAAAAAGAAGAAAAACTTTATGCTCATTAAAGCTCATCAAGTCTCGCATTCCAACGGTATGGCGTCCCTGACGAGAATTTACGGCGCCTGACGAGAATGTACTGCCCCTGATGTCTGACGTAGTGAATTGCTGCGTCTTCCGTTCGCCAATAATCTGAGAGAAAATAAAATCAATTCTGGATACTCTCCAGATCTATCTTCAGGTTGAACTGAGGCAAAGATCTTATATTATTATTAGTGTAGGATCTTCGACTGAGAGAAATATTAATGTTATTGATTCCGGAATGTCTCTCACTTCATCCTGAACTGAACATAAAATTAAGGCTAACCAAGCCCTTTGCACTTTGAACACTGAACTAAAGTCCACTTTGTGCAGTGGGCTCTTTTGTTTTTCGTCTTTGAACTTCATTTTCAGTCTATAGGTCTTTTTTTAAAGGTAAGACCACGGAAAGATGCTGATATCAACGTGTGGCAATATGGCGCGCGGAATTTGTTGTTGAAGTTATTAAAATACCACATTAAACGTTCCTGTTGGTAGTTAAAGTTCTGCAGCTTAGTAAAACGCCACCTGTTATCCCACGCTCTTAATTTAGAAACGATACGCTACCCGCATACCAGCCGGTCCTGAGTGACTATGAACGTCACTGCAGGCACACGCAGAGATGTCAAGTCAGCTAGACATAGTGAGTCTCATATCAAATCGCTACTTTAGAATTACAAAGTTTTATCTGACATTCTGGGCCGTTTTAAGTTACTAAGACCATGAGGTCAGAAACCAAATGTACACCTGCTCTATCAAAATAGTAAGATTATTTAGTCGCTTTTAAGAACCCACATTTCGGGGGTTTCCAGAAATCTTGACCTACACCAAAAGAGGGCATTGCCCTGCCTATAAGAAAAGTTTGGTTTCATTGGTGTGAATATTTGTTTGGTTATAGAGAACACTCTCCATTCTTTTAAAAAACTTTACCTTCGATTTACTCAAATCAGCATTTTTCGGGATAGCCCTCTTGTGCTTAAAAGCGACCATTTGGAGTCGTTATCAAGATATTTAAAGAATAGCTTTCGAAAAGGCTTGACCAAGTTGGGAAACTCACAATTTTGAACTTCAAATTTCCCAAAACCAAGTTGGCCTACTGAGCAGCAGACAGAACTTTGTAATTCTATGGTAGCGAAGTGGTGGGCCACTGCAAGGTTGGACGATGATGTACACGGCCCTGGTTCAAATCCTCAAAGGCAAAGTCATTTTGGAAACTAAGTGTGATTTTTTTTTGGGAGTGTGTGTGTGTGTGTGTGTGTGTGTGTGAG